ACAATAATATATAGTGAGAGGACACATGCAGTAGGCCTTGAATATTATAACAAGGTGGACCTAGGAGGAAGGGCTGAATATAAGCCCATCGAAATCGACCATAGCAGCATTCATGAAGGCAAAGGGCCTAGGATCTTCAAAAGTTCGAGGTGAAGAGATATAGCTATCGAGGGCCAATTCGACTGGGAAACTCACCGACTTACGTGAGATTGGATAAAACAGAAATTTCGGAATATGTGGACGAACGAACATCTAACATGTTCTCGGACAACTTGTCATCGAAATACATGATCGACACGAACTACGCGGTTGAAGTCTTAGAAAGCGATAAGTTTAGAATGAACAGTCGACGGATCAAAAACCAAATATGGGTCGGTAACTTGAATATAAAGTGCGGGGAGGAATTTTTCTGAATGTATATATTATGTAATGTCTGTAATTTTGCAATGCGCAAGGAAGGTCGATCAGAGGGCTCAATAAAATGAGAGGATCATTATTTCCACAGGCAGCCAGGCTACACTAGGGGCACAGACGATCCCAAAAGTGACATCGAGACAGGGAACATCGAGACAGGGAAGTTTCCTCAGTTCCTCATGGGAATGCCATGAGGAACTGAGGAAACTGGCGAACAAAAATTGATTGACTATATACTAGGTGCAAAGACACTCAGGCAACAAAAAGTTGACTCAAGTCCAAACATAGGGTCTGAACCAGCTGTGGGCGTACCGAAATCTTTAGTACGGAACCAGATTGGAAAATAGGTCTATAAATGGGAAAACGTATCAGGGAATAACACACACAGGAAAACCGTCCGAGAGGAGAACCGAAGAACTGCTTCAACAAAGCAGAGATCAGCTCAGAATAATTAGACAATTCCACAAATAATGTTTGAAATACAAACTGAGTAGCAAAAAGTGTTTTTTGTATAATTTAGTGTTCATATAAAAGTATTTGTTTCGAAATAATTTTTCTTTCGTGTAATTCAAAGTTTATATGAAAATAGCTGTTTCAGGAGAGGTTTTTCTTCCAGTTTGCGTCTGGAGGTTACTTCTTTGCATGATCTACACATCTATGTACAGAGTTACTTCTTTTGAAATTGATTGCTTCCTTCCTTTCTTTGGAAGATCCCCACATTTTTTGTATCAAGATAGAGTAGTAGAATGCCAAAAACTATCTTTCCCAAAAATTAACCACTCTTAAAAATATAACCCTTTCAATTTGAACTTCGACAACTTCGAAACATTGGAAGTATCAATTAATTTTTCACTTGTTATGGAATTCATAACTAAATTAAAGTCGAAATTTCGAGATTGAAGTAAAAATTTCGAGATCAAAGTCGAAATTTAGGGATTCGAAGTCGCAATTTCCAAGAAACGAATAAAAAAATATGTGACCCCTCTGCGCTTCCTTACAACGGCATTCTGAGATATATTTTCTGTTTTTTGGTCGTAAACTCACTGTATAATTCTTGGACAGATATACCTACCTATTTCCGAAGATAAACCACACAATAGTAAAGATAAATTTCGGAAATAATCGGAAACAATTTAAAAATTTAACTTATTTATCATATGTCATTTGATTACATTATGTGATTGATCATTAGTGATTTTTGTTTTGTAAAATTTCTCTGATTAGGGTATTTAATAAAAATTAAAATATTGCTTTAGCACATTTGATTTCATGCATCATTAATCAAATTAACATTTCAATAACATTAACAGGTCACCTTTCAACTTCTTAGCAGTAGTTTATTTTTTGATCATTTGCGCATTCTTCTGTGCACATTTCAATGTAATCTTGTGATCTGTCGTTCTATGTCATCTCTATCAGACATAGTTGTTGATATTTGAGCAATATTGAATGTGTTGTTCATCATTTTATTGTTGCTGCTTACCAAAAATCTTCAAAATTCCAAAAAAACTATATTTCAGTACCCTGAGATTCAGTTACGGCTCGTGCATTGGAGAACAGGGGAGGCTTAAGTCATATAGACTATATACACACAGAAAAGCCCGCCGGAGGCGCGAAATTTTTTATGTTGTTGCACGCTCTGCTTAATACTAAAGTTAGGGCGTGGGCATGACAATGCGTAAAAAGTGCATGAGGAGCTATGGACTTTATTTTACTTTGAAAACCATTTAAATGGCCGGCCATGACCGCAACCCCATCATAGGTTTGCGCAATTAACTTTTGCCTAAAATTATAGGTGTCACACGTACGAATTAAAAAATTAAACAAATCGTCAGCTGTTCGCCTAGATGAAACATCATGAAAACCCATAAAATGTTCTACCACATTACCATCTTTGACATATCTAAAAACGATTGGAAGTTGTGTTGTACAGGTAATATCGGAGTTTCATCAATTTGCAAACATGCAAAAAAAAACACTTTCAATCTCCTTGCTTATATTTTCCTTAATAATCTATGCCACACTGTCTATAATAAGCTCATTTTGGATGGTTTTTGAGGTGCCCGAAAAAACGCTACCGTTTAAAAAAGTGCCAAATTGTGAATCATATTTGCCCCATAACACGAGGTAAATTTTTTAAATCGGAGTATCTTATTTTAGACCACGTTTGGTATTCGGTTTGTACGGAAAATAAAAGACAAGGCCAACAAAAAAGTTTTTCTCGTTTAATGGAGCCAATCGCAATTATCGTACCAACTAATATTAAATCCTCGATTTTGTCGATTATCTGACGATTTAATTGAAATCAAATTTGGTTGAGGCCTTCCCAGAGTTTTAATAATGTAAAATTCATTATCATAAGATAAAGACTTGAAATTATTTGTCAGCAACCAATCGACTATATCGTCAGATTTTTTCAATTTCGTCCAACTTATCCATGAAAAAATGAAAAAAAAACTTACCGAAAAGTGAAAACCTGAAAACATCTTGAAATTGAAAGAAAACACTTTAAAAACATATTATGAATATTACCAAAAAGCACTGCTATAATATAATACTGCCTGTTTTATACACAAATAACAAATATTATCAAGAAACACTAAAACGATTTACCGGAATATTTTTTACTCCCGGTTCGTCACGGTATCCCATCCGAATAATTGAATAAAAAACAAACGCTGTCGTAAACTAACAGAGACCAACTGGAGGCTAGCCTCCTCTGACGCTGTAATTTCTGCAACTGAAATTACAAATCGGGACGTATGTCGCTACTTGGATCGGTCTCGTGGAGCCTGTGTTTTTTATAGCGGTCGGAGGCTTGGCTCCCTTGCAACGTATGACATTTATTATTTCGGGTTGATAGTTTATTCGTTAGGCTCAATCCACACTATGATGCCGTTCTCGGTCCGATCTCGCTCCGGTCTCGGTCCGATCAAATCTCGCTGTGTCTACACTACTAGTTCCATACTCAGTCTGTCTCGATCCATGGTCGACATAGGACGTTTCTCGAAATAATTCGATAAATTGTACTCGGCAAAAAATGGCATTTAATTTTTCAATCGAAGAATTAGCGAATTAGTGTGGACGAACAGAATACAAATGAGAAAAAATTACAACATAAAATGAAAAGAAGAAGAATGTGGATACATCCCATTTTACTAACGAGGAAAGAAGAAGGCGAATATCATACGTTATATCGTCATTTGATAGACGACAAAGAAAAGTTTATTATTTATGATCAAATGTTATAAATGACTCAAATAAAGTACTTACCTTTTTCAGAATCCACACGATTTATTACTAGCCATGACTAGAAGTAAAATGTAACGTCTCCTTGCAAGACCGAAGAAAGACTGGAGTTGAAACAAAAACGTATTCACACTGTCGGTACAAGTCATGACAGGTCCGATCTCGCTCCAGTCAAATATTCTTTTCGACCAACCGGTACCGGCGCGATGCCGGATCGGAACCAGAGTGATACGATAGTGAGAATACCCTGATTCTTTCATGTTTGAGAATACTTTACCGGACCGAAACTGGAGCGAGATCGGACCGAGAACGGCATCTTAGTGTCGATCGAGCCTTATTCGTTCATGGGCGTTGCGTTTGAGTTTTGTTGATACAGTGTGGTACGTACTACGTAGTGAGTGATAGTGTTTTTCCGGACATATTATGTATTTATATTGAAAATTGATGGTAAAGTAATGATACTCAAGCATTAAAAAAAATAATCATAATTATTTGTCAATATCTTTTAATTTATTGCGATGAATAGCCTCAAATTTTATGAGAAGGCTAAGCCTCCCTAGCCTCCTCTGACGAGCCGCCGCTACTGAGATTTGAATTATTGTGTGTCAATATCACGTGTCACGCATGCGCCAAATATTTCTTAATTTTATGTTTTAGCAATCGAAATAATTTGGATCGAATTAATTTGGCTGCAAGTATGAAAAATGAGTATTTAAACTTCTCATGTTGAAAACAGTATGAAACCGAAGTTTTGATTATAATTTTTCATGTTGACCTCCTACCGCGAAGTAATAGCTACATCCATCAATTTAATTATTGTTAGGGTTAGGGATAGGGACTCACTGTACAGAAGTTTTTTCTTCTGCACGTAGTATAAGGGCGAGATTTGAATAATCCGGACGTCATCTACCAAATCATTGAACTTAACTGTCAAGTTCAGTAGCTCCGAACACGAATTCCGCTGTTAATTGTAGCTACCTTCCTTTCAGTTATTGTGTCTCTACTGTTTTATTTCACCCTCATTAAAATCATAGATCAGATTTACAATATAAAAATCCATTACCTATTTACATAATTTTTTTTGTCACTCATTAACTTGTCAAAATGTTTATCTGAATAATATGTTGGCAATACTGCTACAAAATTATCATAAAACTCATTTTTATATTTATTCAATGGGTTCATTTCAGATTGTTCATAGTAGAAATACACTAGTTTTTTAATGACTCAAAATACATTTGTATTCATTAATGTAAACAAATCGATAATAAAGTATGATTACACTTTGTGATAACAAAGAATTCGCAGGTATCCCCCACTCAAATTCTGAGATAATCAGTCATATTTGCGCAAACGCACAGCGTAGAAGTGAAAGGGGATTTTTGTTAATAGGAAGTATATGACTCCCCTGCCTGCACTAACCCCGTGAATACCCACATATTGGACTGGGGAATAACCTAATACGTTGTTTGTGTAATTTTGGTGAAGTTTTTTCTTGGTAGACGAGTACAGTCATTCTTTGGTGAGTTGTAGGATATTGTAGTTGTCGTTCTATAGTTTCGTGTTGTGTCTCATTCCTTGAAAATGATTATAGGAGACAATAATACTTTTTATCCATTAGAGAAAACTAGTGAGTGTTTTTGTTATTTATTTGAATAAGAAAGGAACTTTGATATCAAAAACAAGTTGTCAGTTTTATTTCAGTTGAGTATGTTTTAGATATGAGCACATATCCGAATATCTTGACTCCACCGTCAAGTAGTGAAGACTCTCCACAGCCAGTGTATTTTGTAGCTTCTCCAACATCCAGTAGTTTCCATGGACCTGAAGGATATGTGTCACCGATTTCTTCTTTCGGGATCCCAGAGTCAGAGACAGTTGTTGATCCCTACTTAGTCATGGAGGCCCAACCAGCAGGTAAGTGTTGCTATTTAAGATGATAATGTATTCATGTCAATCTTATCGGGCCTCTATTCAATAATCATCACACTATTTTATTTTGATCTGAATTTTATCTCCTATGATAAGTATGACCCAGTAATATTTCATGTGTGACATATGAAATGATAACAGCTTTTCTGGTTTTAAGTATTTCCCAAGGGACATTTGCCCTCTGTATAATTTCCTGGTATTGCCTCTGCAGATTGAGTTTGCATCAATATGTTTTCCAAATGTTTTGCTATATAGAATCAGTGATAAGTTTCTGAATGATTTCAATTCAAGGGTCACCTCAGAAGATGTATTTCATTTAAATTCATGAACTGTCAGTTGCCTTGAATATTACAGTTTCTTCACACGGAAATGATATGATTTGATTAATAATAAATTATGACCTGAATTAGGTGCGAAAATAAAACTGAAATTTTATGATATTGGTACAAATATTTATCAAAATATTGTTTGATATTTTAAGAATCATCTGAAATATTGAAAATTGATGAATATTCCCCAGATCAAAAAAATCAGGTCGAATAGCATTTTAATTTTATTAGCCTTTTTTCATCTTTGAATAAATGTTATTACTCACTTCTAGGTGCAACTCTACATCTTGTTGAACAACCCACAGATCGTTTCAGATTTCGTTATAAATCAGAAATGGCTGGAACTCATGGGAGTTTAACTGGAATGAGCTCTGACAAATCACGAAAACAGACATACCCAACAGTTGAATTGCATAATTTCACCACAGGATCTGCTATTATAAGATGTTCTATATATCAGAACAATGCAATTGGCAAAGACTTCATGCCTCATGCTCATCGTCTCATCATGAAAAAGGGAAAAGAGGAGCAAGATGATCCCCATGATTTAGTCATAGGACCAGAAGATGGATACAGGGCGGTGTGAGTTGATATTTCTTTAGGACCAAAGAAAAAATGAAATTTTCTCTTTCACTTCTTTCATATGTCATGGAATCCATCATAACATATATAAATGACACTTTATTGTGAGTTTTCATTCAATACTACAAAGCAGAAACATCTCTTTCACTATACTGTATCGTAAACTGTTAAGTGGAAATTTCACGATTAAGTGTTATTCAAATATATGTTATTTCATTTATTTTGCATAATAAACTGGAAATTAATAAACTTTTAAAAATATTTTGTAACTTGATAAAATATTGTGAAATTATCTTTTTATCAATATTTATCTTTAAAGGAGATACATCTCATTTGGATCTCAGTTTTTCAAGATCTTAGATAAAATGTTGGAATAAAATTTAAAACATACTTGGATTTCGGTATTCAAAAAATATTTCTGAATCCATTAAATTTGTTTTTAAATGAAGGTTAAATCAAATTATTCCATTATTTCTAAAGACTTGAAAGAAAATTATTTGCTGTAATTCTTTAACGCCTTTCATTTAATTATAGTTCGCCATACATCAAATATCTACTACAAAATACATAATGTTAATATTTACAAAGTGTAACAAAATAAATCTCCATCTCATTAAGATATTGCAAATTACAAAAAATGAACAATGCAGTAGCCAGAGTCAAAATAAAGGTGGGCTCATGACATCAAAATTGGAAAGAAATTATTCAAATTTGAAAATAGTTGAAATTGAAACGCTTTTGATGAATAAGAAAATAAACGAACATTTCTCACTTTTATCCCTCACCATCATTCCACTGAACTCTGAGTTGATCAAATGTATCTTCAAAATAACTTCATTTCTCATCAGCTATAAATCTTTTAGTCAATTCTGAAGATGCTACTGCAGTTGAGTAAATTGCAACACAAAAATATTTCTAATGTGTTTATGAAGATATTTGACTTTTCTGTAAAAATATATTTCCTTTTCAGTTTCTAAAGGTCTTTTGGCAAGTGGATTCTCAACTGAAATATTAAGAAAGTCACCTGAATTCTTTCAAAATATGACACTTCGGTGCACGTTTCATACCCAAGTAGGCATCATCAGAAAATACTTATAATCAAGAATTATTTCCTTTACTTATTTTACAATTCAACTTCAATATATATAGTAGATTGTTTTTTTTTTGAGAATATCCTAAAACAGTATTGACCAGGCCTCAAGTTGATAATTCAGGAATTTTAGCTTCTGTCTATTATGAAATCTCATGAAATTTGAGCTTTTAATGAATTACTGATTCTTGGAGTGTTTTCCATACATTAACTAGAGAACGATCTTTCTGGTTGACAATTTAGTGATTGTTTCGACTATGACATGATAATGGATAAAGGAGCTTCAATCCAAACCCCCTTCTATCAGTCTTTTCACTCAACAGAACTACTTTTTGCATGAACTCATTATATGGTCAGCAATGAAATTTGCATGAATGTATGTCCGTTGGTCACATGAATTTTAGTATTAGATCTGAATAATCAAATTAAACACTCAGTTATGTAACAACTGTTTTGAAACCACAATCATTGTTATTCCAAGGCGTTATTGCTTCAAGCTATATTAATACTTTTTTCAGACAATGGCAGTCTGAACTTCTACATTTCTTTTGAAAGATAGAGAAAATTGTAGTTTTTTTTTTCAAAGCTCGTATTATTTAAATATATCTTTTTCGTGTGTATAAATATCATTTTGTGACACAAACTTAGTATTTTTGTATAGTGCAGCGGAAATGAAGCAGTGATAAAATGAAATTTGAGAATGCTCGAATTCTTTAGTATCAGGTAGTATAAATGATATTTTCATATTTCTTAAAAAACAATCTGGTTTAAAATGAGTCGATACACCTTCAGTCCATGCTTTCAACAAAACTATTAACTGTGTTTGAATAACAGATATTATATTATCCTGATGGTATGTGGTGGTAGATTATATTTAAAGGCATTCGATACTGTGGACCATAAAATACTTTTGAATGCCAGAACTATATGTGGAGTTCTGCTATGATCAATTCTTGAACCTATTCTTTCCTTCTGCTAATACTAATTCTTTGCCAACCGTATATTTATTCAATACCTACAAATGTTTGTTGAAAACACCACCTTCATTCACATTACAAGTACAAGAAATTGAAATTATAATGTCTAACAACCTCGAAATCTTCATAAGTTTGTAACCGAAAGATATATATCAAAACATCCAATCGAATTCCAAGTGTTAAATTTCTTGGTGTCATTGTAGATGAAAATTAATGGTTGACACTACATGACATAATCCCAAAATATGCAATTGGAATTGTATTTAGAATGAAATATATATCATTGAACAGGAAAAAGTTGCAGGGGCCCAAACCTGGTGAATAAGGTGGCTGAGGAATGATTACGGTGTTGTTTTTGGTAATGACGAGTGAATAGGTGCATTATTGTGATGCAAAAGCAATCAATCGTTTTACTACAATAAAGGACGTTTTCTTCGTATTGCTTCTCGCAAGCAGCGCATAACTTCAAGATAATACTCCTTAATTACCGTATGACCATGTGGCAAGAACTGATGCACTACGCCACAGTAATCGAAGAAATCAGTGATCAAAACGATGACATTTGATCGAACATGGCGTGCTTTTTTGGTCTTGGTTCTCTTGGGCTCTTATATTGGGGCGATTGAATTTTTGTTCAAATATCATAACCCATGATTCGTCACCAGTTATGACCCATTCCTGAGCAACGTTGATGCGACGTTTTTTTTTGGTCAAAATTCAGAAAATTTTGAACGAACTTCACTGCCATAGGCATTCATGCTCAAAAATTCTGAAAAAACTGTATGACATGAGCCAACCGTTATGCAGACATCCTCATCAACTTCATTAATAGTGATTCGACGACTGTCGATAACAATTTTCTTCACTTTCATCGATTGTTGTGCGTCGTCAATTACATCTCAACCTTCTGTGAAAAGTTGTTCCACTTGTAAACATTTTTCTGATTCAAAGTATAATCACCGTATGCCACTGTCAACATTTCAAGTGTTTCTGAACACTTTCTTTGATTCATGTTTCCGATAGCAGAAAATCGCCGAACACGCAAGACACATGCAACTTTTATGCCATTCACCAACAAAATAAATATGCTAAACAGCTTAAAATGTCAACATGTGTTCGAGACGAGTATTTCAACATAAAAAAAAAACGCTAATCGATTGTACGTAGCCCACGAAATTTGAATATTCACCTTATTTTTTGAACAGACCTCGTATATTCAAATCGAACTACAAGGAGCCAAGGAAACTACTAGTCAATTTGAAAACATGTTTATTACTGTACGGAAATATCTATATGTTCTATACATATACGGTAGTGTATTCATAAATGATTGTATTTATAATTTGACAGTTTGATATTTTCCATTTGATTTTTGGTTTGTATTCATTAGTTATATGATAGAATATGAATTTTCAGTTTGAAATATGTAATCGTATAAAAAAAATTACTAACGCTTATTAATTTTTTCATCTTGTTTTTCTCTAATGGGGTACTATTAACACTCAGAAAACCCCTTTCACTTAATATCAAAATCATCTTCGCTAGGTGGCCAGCTGATCTGAGCTGATCATAATGGAGTTGAGTTGAGAGAAGCAAAATAGAGTTGAAAAAGGGTGATAATGGAAATATTTCAGCTAAGAGGAAACAAAACCAAAAAATGAAACACAAATACTCAAGATTTCAGATTAAATTTTTATGCAAATCTTTGGCCTCTTCCTAAAAAAAATATTGTGTTGAAGACATGTTTAAAGTTACCTTCAAATTAGTGAGTTTGAAAAATATGAAAAAGGTAGTTAGAATTACACAAATTTGAAAAGAAGGGAATTCAAGTCATCTTTCAGATCAGTCCTGCAGTACTGTCAATTTGTGTAACGAACTCAACCCATAATGTGTCCACTCCTCTAGTGGCTAACCTTGATTACCTTGTTTCATGTTCATTTTGAAAATGAATTTATATTATTTATCATTATGCATACCAACTGAACATTTTTTTAAGGTTCCACGGCATGGGAATAATACATACTGCAAAGAAAAACATTGTCTCAGAATTAACAAGAAAAAAGGTTCAATTGAAACAAGAAAGTATAGCAAGAATAGAAGGAAAAATGAGAGAGCTCACTACCAAGGAATTAGTTGAGGTAAGCGAGCACACCATCTATCAGGATTATCTTTATATGGCTTTTTCTTTTGGATTTTCAAGATGATACTCCATAAGCTTGTGGTGACTTTCCAGGGGATCATTTGATAGCTCTTGAAAATGTATGATTTTCATAGTCATGAAGTAGAAGTTTCATTGAGTGTTATGTTGTCAGTTGTAGGTGGTGCATGTGAAATTTTTGAAAAAGAAGTACTTTTAAGATATAATTATGACTGGGATCTCTCCTAACCAAACACAATACAAAAAAATGGGACAGCAAAATAGGAAAAATGTTTATTCTTAGGAAAGCAATCTTTAAAAAGTAATAAATTACTGTATAGCTTTTGCAAATTTACTTAGAAAATAACTTGAAACCTAATTCTAGGATAGGGGATATATTTAAGTTTACTGTCCCATGAATCTACGAATGTAAACGGCATAGCAAAATAAATGACCCTTTTTGGTATTAAAAACTAATTTTACGAAAGCCTTTCAGAATGAAAATTTTTCCTATTTTCCTGTGCCTTTTTTGTATGGCATTTAGTTAAAAAAATCCCTGTTGTAATTAATATTGAAATTTATAAAAGCGGTACAAGCACTTTTGGAAAATTGATACCTTCCATTTGGGTTATTGTTTTTACATTTCCAAGATTTCAATATGCACCACCTACATTTGACAGCATGAAGGCTGACATGTATTTTCTATTTCAGTACTATCAAAATCAAAAGTTTTTGAGAGGTGGCCTCCCAAAAATTCAATATGGGCTTGCGATCTATAACTTAATGTGTTTTCTTTGGCGATCCTGTTTTTCCTAAATGTTCCATTAGTTTTAAAAACCTTTTTTGACATCATGATGTCTGATGAATAAGTTTTTGAAACTGATGACTGGATTTTGAAATTTAGAGACGAGGATAGGTAATATTGAAAGCTGATAGTCATCTTTTCATATAATATTGGTTTACATTGACTTCCATTTTGTCAGTTACAATGAATTCCTGCTGTATTACATGTTGAAATGTATGTGGCAGAAACAAGGAAAAAAATGAAAAGTAGAACATTTGTTGAAAGCAGTTGAAAAGAACCACTGCATTCATATAATTGTGAAGATTTAAAGCAAATACAAGACTTGATCGCCAAAAATACTTCAGATAAACTATGATCTCATAAGATCATTCGTCCTCTTATAGGGGAAAACAAATTTTGAAGTCTTACTTCTCCATTAATATATGAAGACGGGATTATTCAAAGACATAATTAAACATTTGAAATATCAATGTTAACTCTGCAAAAATATGAAGAGCCTGCACAGAAGTATTTTTTAGATACTACCCAGTTTGTATATCAGAAATTCACAATGGAATTGAAACCGAAATCATACACGGGAAATGCTACACAAATATATTTATGAAAGAGAATCGACACAAAAACTCACTTACAGAATAAGTTCTCAATTTGCTCAATCTGCCAGTTCTCAAAATTCATTCGTACAATTAATTCATTCGTACAATCAATTCATTTCGGCACTCTTCATATATTAATAGAGAAGTAAGAAGACAAAAATATATTATTTATAAAAAATATATTTCACTATTTGGAAATTCACTTACTGTAAATTCCCAAATAGAGTTACTGAGAAAAGTGCATATCTTCAGATTAGAGTTTTTGCCATACACGTGGTTGAGAAAACAATTGATGGAACTTAACCTGTCAGTAATGAATGAGGTTAAAGATTTTCCTGTTGAGTATTATTTTTAACTAATTGTGTGCAAGTACAAACCAAGTTATGTGATAAAATCGGCCGATACTTGATGAAAATCCATAACTTCTTCAAGAAACACTTTATTGTGAGATTTTCACTAAACTTTTACAGAAATTCTACACGTGTTTCGCTATACAAAAGCTTCTTCAGGCGTATCTATACGTGTTGAATAGAAACACATGTGTTTTTATAAAACTGTTCAGTGAAAATTTCACAATGAAATGTTTCTTGAATTTCTTTATTGTGATATTTTCACTGGTCAGTTTAAAAAACCTTGTACATGACAGTCCTTTTTTTTGTTACAAATTTGATATTTAGATTTAGGGTACATATAGCCTATTGAGACCTATATTTTAAACAAAATAAAGATTACTTCCGGTCCAAGCAGTAGTAATGACAATCAAGAACCTTATATGAAATCCTGTATCTTGTCAAAATAGAATTATTTTATCGAGCACAAAATAAATGGCCATTTCAATTTATAACTTGAAATACTAAAAAAAATCTGCAGTAGTATGGTTATTAAGTGTATTAGATTGTGCTGTGCTTCAGAAACCTTTTCTTACTCCATCTGTATTCATGAACGACGAGTAAACATTTTGTATTCCTATCATATCTGATGATCCCTTATGTCAAACTATAGAAATGCTAGCTAAAAACTTTAAAAATAGAAAATAAAAAAAACCCTGACGAGAGAAGCCTACACCAGATACTATAGAAACATGAAAATTTTCACAAATCATCCCCGAATATAGATAAACCGAATATAGATATACATATCTGATAACTCTTGAACTAGGAAATAATATTAATTCACAGCAATTACATTTCCAAATGACAGATTGACTTAAATTGTTGGAAACAGATTGGTCAAAATAATCTATGAATATTTGAAACTTCCTACTCCAATAACTGGTTAATGATGAGCCCAGGGAAGATATAATTGATAATTCACAATTCACTGTTCATTTTATCGCTGCATGAATTCAAATATTGTAGAATTTTAGTTTCCTGGTTCCACACAAAATATCAGGTTGGCAACACTGTGGTTATCCAATAACGGTCCATCATTTATTTGCAAATAAAGAAGATACAGCCTGAAGTGACTTTCTAGAATTTTTTTTCAAGCTCAAAAAAGAACAATGGTCTTTCAATGGCTTTTTAGTTTTATCAATGCAGTACTGGCCATATTAAAACAGTATTCGATTAATTTAATTCTTGAAGTTGATGCTTACATTTTGTGGTTTGGTCTTTGAAAGGTTGATGCGAATTAAATAAGTGAATCTGAAGCAGGTTTCAATGTTGAGTGATCTTTCTGAACTGGTTATGAAGACTATTTCTCTTTGTTGGTTCCCTGTAGTCTTAGTATATTAGATTTGCTGGATATATTTTTTTTAGTCCAGTGTCTCATTTTTCCTGTTGTTACAAAGATTAAAAATTCAGTCAATTAGCGATTAAATGATTTCTTTCTTCATATAATCATAGTCGTTGGGAAAGTTTCTGATTATAAATAAGGAATACCAACTACAAGTGTATATAGAAAACCAACTTACACAAGTCAGTACCTGAATTCGGAATCCAATTATGCTTTTTTTTTCTATAGTAACAGTCATTCATTTTGATTTCACATAATTAGTTCTGCAATTTTGGTGAGACTGAAGTAGGTTTTTGCGTTTAAGGGGAGGTAATGGTCTTAATAATAATAATAATAATATTAATCCAATAAAGTCACATGCAGACATATGATAAGTCACATTATTAGTTAAAAAGAGTACATTCTGAAATAATATTGGAATTATAAGAGATAAAGTGTTAGTACCTAGTGTATAAAGTGGGTGTATTGATATAAGTAAATTATATAACATTAAAACTAGACTAAAATTTCATTAAACAATTCATTCAATCTGTAGAAGGGAGTCCGAATGAGTATTTCTTTCAGTTTTAACTTGAAGTTGCAGGTGGTAAGTGATTTCAGAGTGGGGGTAGATGGTTGTACACTTTAATTCCCATAACTGTGGGACTCTGGCTGGTAATTTGTAGGGTGTGGTTTGGAATTATTTCTTGTATTTTCCTTGTGGAATATGGATGTGTATTATTTGGACAGTTGGTTCGGTGCTTTCTATCATGTGCAAAGCATGCTATTTCCAGTATATACAGGTTGACCACTGTTAAAATGCCTTTTTAAAAAGTGGTTAGCATGGTTCAAGATAATGAGAAAAGGTCATCTAATTATCCGTTTTTGGGCACAGTATATATTCTTCTCATGAGGGAGAATGAAACATTTTGATCATGAAAAACCGAGAAGTATAGTGTATTTTTTTTTTCTCATTAGTGATCCTTTAAACACCTTGAGTAGGTGCATTTCTAATACATTATGCCAAAAACCCCAATATTGTGCATGACAGAGGGTTAAATTGTCAATTAATATAATGAATTATTTCAAATAAAATTCTGTCATCCATGGTAGTTTCATGTAAGGCACAATAATACACATGTCTCAATAACATACACCATCATATAATAATAATAATATTTATTGATCTATGGAAACCTACGTTCAAAAATACCGAGAACATCCGAAATTATTTAACTCTTGTACAAGATCTGTCAATGGTTTTTTACATAATAATGATGCGTGTCCGTGTGAGTGCAATGTTTAATTTTTCAGTAATATTTACAAAATTTCACGAATCCGAAAGAAAAAATTGGTGCTCTCCATTATTTCCAGAGTTATAGTTCCGAAAATTGCAACTTATCGGCCTTTTTTGTACAATACAATCTATAGAAATACACCACTGTTTATTCACATCACCTTTACATTTTATTTCACCTTCTTTGACACTTCTCAGTTTGACAATTGATATATTTTTCTATACGGAGCTGCATTTGGTGATGAATATCTCCATTTTAAGTTTTTGTGGTAAACGTCATAGTTGACATCACTGATTACTACCAACTATTCAGTGTTTTTGGCACGAAATACTTTTTTTGAAGAGATTAGTATTTTAAAGAACTTAGTTGTTTTCAAACTCTTTCAATACAAAACTGGTACATTTTTCCAAGAAAGCACAATCTATGTAAATACACTGCCTTAACAATATCGAGTCCCATGAATAACACTTTTTGTTTCTCAAAGTATTAGTTCAAACATGTCACTAACGAAAGATTTAAACATATCAAGTACTGTTTTATGATTTCGCTTCAAAATAGTTGTTTTTGTTTTCCCTAATACTATATTAGGAGATTTATTCCGCAACTAACTTATCAAATTACAGTGGAAATTTGTTTAAATTTTTTTTATTGTGATTTTTCAATTATGGTAGATCACAATAAAATGTATAACCTGGTTGAGGCATTTTTGCTTGAGAAATGATTAGTCATTTCACAAGTTGCAATTGCAGTGAATTAGCAATTACCTTTATTTGTTTCCCAAGCAATCCGGTTTTACTAA